AAAAGCCTAGACTTGTATAAAATGAAAAATAATGTAAAAATTAAATATTGTGATGCACAGTGCAACTTCTATTCTTTTGTTCCCACCTATATAGAGCTTTGGATTTGAAATATCAGACTTGAACAATATTTCTTGATATGCAGTGCCGGCCACGTAAATACATATCTATCTTCTTTTTTTGTTTTTTTGTTTTTCTTTGTTTTGTACTTTTGTTAGAAAAAGGTATTATTATGGTAATTTTTCCTGTTTATTATGTTATTATTGTCACAGATTTTAACTCAATTGCAGGCGATCACTTTTCTTGCTTGTGGGTTTTGATGGTAATTCCTGGAGCCATAGAGCTTAGCCCCATATGTTTTTTTTGCAGGAAAAAAATCTGATTTTCGGTCAATGTTTATCCCTTAGAATTTAGAGGTTTGTTCTTGTACCTTTTCCTTTTTTCCTCCCCGGCAAAGACGACCTTCTTGCACATTTGACCGTAAGTTTGTTTCTGTCCATTATACAAGAATCATTTAAGAAAATATTGTAGAGCAATTGCGTGTTCATTATTTTCATTATAATGGTTGCGAAGGCCACATTTTAAAACAGAAATGAATTTAATGCATAAAATTTCAAAATTCATAATATTTATTTATGATTGAAAATAGTATAATTGGTTATAAATTTATTATACATATTGATATATTGATGTTTATGATACATATGAATGTGGTCAGATGATATATTGTAAAAGAATGGGGAGAAGTAGAATAATGGGGACTAATTGAACAGAATGGGAACAAATACGTACAAACAATACTAGCGCTGTTGAGGCTGGTGGAATCTTAGAATATAGTTCCTCGATTTTGCGTTTACTTGGACAGTCCATTGGGCGGAGAGTCTTCGCCCATGTCTTTCTTTTCATATTTACTACGTGTTTTGAATTTGATGATAATCTATTCTTTGTATATTGATTGTTTCGTTCTGGGGATGATGCAGAAATTAATTAACAAAACTTTCTCAGACTAAACTCTCTGTCAATTTGCCGTGAGCAGTACGATGCTTGGGATTGACAAGACTCGGCAAAAGAATGGAGACACTTGGCTTGCTAATTTTCCACAGTTGTCCTCACTCTATCTTATATCATGACCTTGTATATTTCATCCTTTAATTTCTTCACATAATATATGTTCGGAATAGCCGGAGATATGAATCTTACTGTAGAATTAATAATTAATATCCATACATAATAATTACACACTTACACAGACCATGATTTGATGCGTTTCAAGGTGATTAATAATGTATTACATAGCATGAAATGCACAGGAAAGTGCTGTCGAATACACACAAAACCGTGTCTCCTCATCTGCATAATCATTATTATTTGCGTAGTTATTTTCCCGTCTTGCTTTTGACTTTAAAGAAAGAGATTCCTTGGGGACGATGCCTCCTTGCAAAATTAGAAAGCCACTCAGGCATTATAAAATCCCCATGATCGTTCCAATTTAACAAACACAATGTACATACATGCTAATTAATTATTAATTACCGACATCGTGATCCATGTATGGATCTTTCACTTCCACCAAGTGGTACCTTTGGGTTGAGATTAAAAAAATAAAATGAAGAATATATGTGCAGCTGCCAAGAGCTCAGTGGTTTGGAATCATGTTTTGGGAGAAAGGCAAGTGCTTGTACATTGGGCATTCAGTAAAAAAAAAAAATTAAGCATTATTGTACTGGATTTTTGTGATGTAATCTATCTTTTCAGCTTAAGTGGCTTTAAGTTGCTATGATTATCCCTAATATAATAATACAGATTGATATGATCAAAACAGCATATGGGAGACTCATTACTAGTTTATGTGTGTTAATGATTTAGATATACATATGCTTGGATTGATAGTGACCTGCGAACTAACCTAGCTCGTTCTTTACCTTTTTTTTCCACGTACCATGTTTGAAAGCCATCAGTGCCACTTCCAATCACTGATTATATCACCATCTTGTCCCACTAGTTATTATGGCTGTTTTATAGCTAGCTAGCTATATAGCCCAATTTTGGCAAGACCAAGTGCAGACACAATTAAGCACAATGAATTGTTTAACCGGCGGCTGATTCTATAGAAGTAGGTTATAAAATGTTTTACACACAATGATCTGTGCATATCTGTGAACTGATGAATGGATTAATTGTGTACTTTCTATATAATAGTTAGTAATATACTACCTCCGATTTTAATTATAAGATCTTGTTTGTAGTTTACAAATGAGGTCTTTTAAATAGGATCGAAGGTAGTATATACTATTCAGTACTCAGCAATAGGGGTATAGAAAATATATATCTATTCTGTACTTACAAAAAATGATGAAATTAAAGTTTGATCAACGTTATTCAAATACTTATATGGCTCAAGAGTTTTAATCTTTTGATTAGATGTGCAGCTACCAATTTTAATACCTATATTTGGACTATCAATTTTACCAGAAAATTACTATATGTATTTAGATCATAGAGCATTAATTAGAGAGATACATATAAAATATAATTGAGAGATTGTTATTATATTTGAAAATCCTACACTCCGAGTATTTTGTACTTGAGACCTTGTAGTAAGTTGGAAAATAAAAGGCTAGAAACCCCACCCCCCCCCCCCCAAAAAGAAAGAAAAATAAAGAATAAAGAAGTTATGGAAGAAAAGGAAAAGGGGGCATCATGATCATACATAGGGTATCTCATCAATGGCTCCATCATCTCTTTTGAAAGAGATTCCTTTCTATGATAATGCCAAATGATCAAGTCTCGATAAATCTGACCCAATGGATGTGGTTTTCTGCCACAGAGATATATTAAAGACTAAATTAAACTATTATATTATCTCTTGAGGTTAAAAGTCTTGGCATAATATATAATTGGTCCAGAGCATAATATGATATATGATATATATATATATATATATATATATATAAGATACTCCGTCCCTTTTAAAATAATCATCATTTTAAGTTTTTGTGATTTTTCAAAATGTATTTATTTTTAATCAAGGATTAATTTTTCTTGTATTAATTTACTTGCATTAATAAAATACTTAGTTGAAGCATAAGAAATAAGGATGTATGTTTAATATTGGGGTATTATTGCCAAATACCTGTTAGATTTTGTACAACATAAACTATTCAATTATCTTTTTAATATATTTATGTGCAAAACTTTAATTAAAACGACAATTATTTTGAGATAACGGCAACTTAAATACATGCCCTTACCCCTAATCCCTCCATTATAGAATTAAAGTGTGTTCTAATTATATATGTCAAAGGATACCCTCGACAATACATCTATATAAAATGCTGTTGCACATGATTGGATATCTGCGTTACCCTACCTTGGCCCTTGGATAGTTCTTTGTCGTTCTTCCTTTTTCCTTGATGTTTCTGAAAATTATATTAACTAATAATAGTTAGCTGCCTTTAATTAGCACAAGTCTTGAAATTAAACTGGCAAAGACTAAGATGCAATTAAATTGAATTAAGACAAATTAAAGAAACGATAATAACTGGGGCAACAATAAATGTGTATATAAGAGTCGCACATGAAGGTTTGAAAGATGATGGGGGGTTTTGGAGGATTTTCACTGGAAATGATAATGTGGAATGGAGAGAATCCGTACGTAGAAGACTTTGTTGGGTTCCAGAAAGTAAAAGTAATCGATGGAGTTCTGACTTTGAACAGCATCTTTTGGGCAATTAATACCAAATGACTCATCACAAAACGACAGCCTTTGCCATCAACACTATGTTTGACATATTCAATTCCAAATCCAACTTGGGTGACACCCCTGAATTTGCCATTGTCTCGTCCTCATCACGCCTTCTTTGTTCTTTCATAGGCTTAGTAATTTCCATTCACAGTATCATATGTTGGTTCTACACAGCTTTCAATCCATTCTTTTTCGTCTCATATTTCTTCTTCCCCTACCTAATCAAGTCATACTTAGACCTACCCTCCTAAACATTGGAATGTATACAATACAATGCAGGGTGAATTCTGACTTTGTCTTTGTCTACATATATACTCCATTTAATCCTTATTATAAGTTTCAAATAACTAACTTACAGATAACAAACAATTAGTTAAAAAAATAAATAGGTTAGAAATATAGTTTTGTTTTTAAATATATTCTTATAATAAATCAGAAAAAAGATAAAAGAGAATTTGTGAAAAAACGTGATAAGAGAGAAATAATTAAGGGCAATATTAGAAAAATATATATTAAATGTTAAGACAAGTTCAAATTGAAACTTATAAAATAGACTATACTTTTTTTAAAATTTAAAACTAATAAATATGATTAAAAGTAAAATGTTTTGTTGAATACATATATATGAAACTCAAAATACATATATATATATATGTATGTATCTATACGAATCTGTGTGTGTATCCTTGTCTTAGGTTTATATTAGTGTATGTAACAAGACGTATTTTGCAGATCCTATGTATATAAATAAGCGTGTCTCCTAGAAACAAGATAAATTTTCTCCTTTTTTTCACTCTTTCAATTAATGCATATATGCCTGTTTTTTTTTTTTTTATACAACGGAAGAGATACATATATGATCTGTATGTGAAGGAAAGTAAAATAAAGTTGCTGTGAAGTAGGAAGCATATATAAATTACGAATTGTGTGTGTGTGTATATGTGGAAGGTTCTTCAGTTATATATAGAATTAAATATATGGTTTGGTGGAGAGATATAGTCCGTGTAATCCCAGAGGACACAAATACTCTAAATAAGATAAGGTATCGTACGTTTGAGATACAGTTTGGTTTGGTTTTGTTTTGTTTTTTTTAATTTACAAAAATTTAATTAATCTCAAAAATATCCAACAATAAACAATGTCCATCCAATCACCTTGTGTTGGTGTGCGTCCAATTTCAGAAACCCCACCTCCTCCATCATCATATATACCACCAAACATATCTCTGATTTCTGCTCTTTCTCTCCCTCTCTCTCTCTCTCTCTCTCTCATTCTCGTTCTTTCTTTCTCTCTCCTTCTCTCCTTCCTCTCTCAGACACACAGAGACAGACCCATTAAACTTGTGGGGAGTGAAAATGGCGAGGAAGTGCTCACATTGTGGGAACATCGGCCACAATTCAAGGACGTGCACATCGATGAGAGGTGCTTTCGCAGGGCTTCGACTCTTCGGTGTTCAACTGGACATATCGTCTTCTTCTTGTGTTGCCATCAAGAAAAGCTTTAGCATGGACTCTCTGCCCTCTTCCTCATCTTCTTCTTCCTCTTTCTCTTCCTCCAGATTAACCATCGACGAACACTGCGATAGAACCTCCCTCGGCTATCTCTCCGACGGTCTCCTAGGTCGAGTACAAGACCGGAAAAAAGGTACATATATTTCATCTCCTGACCCAACCGCATTAATTTATGATCAGAAACTACGGAGTATTTAAGAAATTTACTTATTAATGTGGCTAATTAATGACTACCGGTGATAATTAATTTCGTTCAGGAGTTCCCTGGACAGAAGAGGAGCACCGAGCATTCCTGGTAGGGCTGGAGAAGCTGGGAAAAGGAGACTGGCGGGGAATCTCCAGGAACTATGTCACCACCAGAACCCCTACTCAAGTTGCCAGTCATGCTCAGAAATACTTCCTTCGACTCGCCACCCTTCACAAGAAGAAGCGACGTTCCAGTCTTTTTGACATGGTACATTAATTATTATTCCTTCTTTTTTTTTTTTAATCATTATCAAGCCTTCAAATTAATTCCTGATGGTTCATAATATATATGGGGTTAAATAATCCAAAAGGATTGTATATGGAAGGTTGGAAGCAGTCAAGGTCATGCTCATCCTAAGGCAGGCGATTCGGCAGAGAATATTGACACTGATTTGCAGCTTCTTGGCCGCAAGATAATGGAAGCCGACAAATCACCAGATGATAAACAAACAGAAGAAATTGCGGATGATGATTATTCTCAACGTTCTGAAACTTCACAAGGTGCCAAATTGTTGAAATCTTCCAATGGATCAGCGGCGCTTGATCTGGAGCTCACACTTGCAGCCCCCAACAACACTCTCCAGCACCAAAATACCCTTCTTGGTCCAGTCATCAGCGTCACCTGAACCAGCCCTATAAATCTCTTTGATCACTCATATATATATATATATATATATATCATATCCATCTATCTATCTACATATATTGTACCCTTTTTTCTTTCTTTCTCTACTGACAAACAGTGTCAGATAATTAAGAGAAACATGTTTTCTCTCCTGGTGTTAATTAATGTTAGGCATTCATCGCTCCATCCAATAAATGATTAGCTAACTAGCTAACTTATTTCAGCATCCCGATGGCCATAGTCTGTAACTACATTTGTATTCATGTTCAAGCTAGTGCGTCTTCTTTCTGTATCTGATCACTGAAATAATGTTCTTTTTGTTCGGAGTAATCATCTATGGATATCAAAACCAATGAATAACTCAGCCTGGCTTCTTAATCGAGATCTATTCCTTACACGGTGGAGCAATTTTTACTTAAATAATCCCTTTACACTCTGAAAGCTCCGTTAACATTATGAGGAAACAGACTTGAGATCTGGTGAAAAAGGTACCTCATGTGTTGCCCTAGCTATTTTATGTTTTTTTTATTAATTAATAATATGCTTAGTGTGCCTAAAACCTGGTTTAATTTTCATTGTTATAAAACTCAATCTGCAAATTCTAAGGGACATTTCTCGCGATAACAATAGGGACAGCTGTTGAGAAGAAAGCAACTGATTGGATAAAGATTCTTCCGCTCCCTGCTTTTGGCATTATACAAAGCAAAGCTTTTTTTTTTTTTTTTGGGTTCCCAAAAGCAAATTACTGTACATACTTGATTCCGCAGAGAAAACTGAATTCATTAAGGCTGGAAAGATGGCCGTCTGGCCTTTAAATATTGTTAGTGGCTTTCAAGAAGAATTCTTTAGTTGTTTTGTCTCACGAGTTTTCTGGACAGGATTTTATAAATTAAACAAAAAGATAGTGAACATGCATGAATTAGACACAGAAAAAAAGTACTGACTAAGTTATGCCTTCTTTAATCTAATGATGATCCACCATGAATCCCGAGTTCATTAGCCTTAATTTTCTCCCGAGGAAAGAAAGAAGGAAAAAGGGGTGGGCTTTAAGTTTCCTCAAGTAATTTAAAAACAAGCAGAATTAATTAAATGACATATTCTGAAATTTCATCACTAGAATTTCCATACAAACTTTTAGTGTTTGTTAATCAAATTTTTATGACAAGAATTTCAAGTGATTTATGCTTTTTTGGTGAGTGAACTTTAAAGAAACTGTTTTTATATTATATATTTTTTTATTAAAAAAATTAATAACCAAGAAACGTTTGTAAAAAAAATTACCAGAATCGAGTGCTTTGAAAATTGAGCATAGAGCATTCTGCAAGAAAATTGCTGTGACGGGGATTTTGACTGAACACATTGGATTGTTTTCTTGTGGAGAGAGTATATCTAGTTTGGGAGGCATTTTAAGATAATTGAAGAAACTGGTGGGAAAAACTAAAGAGGACCCTCAAAATTTAATTATTACACGTCGGGTCCCATTTCTTATCGTTCACCTCCCATATGATGGAAATTTGGCAGAAAAAGTCTGAAACTTTCAGAATGAACCAAGTATATATGCCATCATCATGTCCCTCACGTATATACTAATTAGATATTTTCAGCATAAATTACATTATAATATTTTTCTAAAAAATTGTTAGCATATAATTGTTATTTTTAAATATGGATAAATTAAAAATATTCGTGCAAGTCAAAAGAATGTGCCTGCATTGATAATGGAAGTTATTATTCAGAGTTAAAATTATTTTCGGAACTAAATTAAAATTGGACTCATGTACATTATGAAATTTATATATATTATAAAAGCCAAAAAAAGGTCTGCACTACTTATTAATTTGGTGGCAACATGTATTATATTTTTTCAAAAAAAAATATATACTTGATTTTGTTTAGAAATACAGATGTTAAAGATTATACATGTTGGAAAAAAAAAAGATTATGAACATGAAAGAAAATTATTAATAGTATTTGACCAACGCATTGAAATCACACCCACATGAAAATTATCAATGTGACAAACTTTGACTAGTCACCACGACTACTTTGTTCCCAATTTAAGCACCTCTTCATTTATGTCCAAAATATGTGGTCAACATATTAATTTCCTCTGATGGGTACGATAACTAGACACTGTTTCTATAATTAACTAGACACTTTAAGATAATTGTATTCTTTTCCAGAAGTAAATTAATTTTGACACGTATAAAAGTTTAGTCAAATTTGTAGAAAACCATTTGCTCAAAAAAAAATTGTAGAAAACCAAAATATAGTCCGGGTTGTGAGAACAACGTCTTAATTAATCAAATATTTTTTAAGTAAAAAATATATAGTAGGGATTAATTTTCTCATGCGTCTTCGATGCAATGGAATGATAAAAATTATCATTAATTTATAAATTTATACAAAGATTACAAGGACGTTTAATTCAAAACCAAACTTCAATTCATATTTAAAAAATTACTGCCACAGTCTATAATGTATTAATGATTATATGGAGAATTTCTTTTGCTGCAAGCGGGGGCAAATATTTGGAGTGGATGGGAGCTGGTGGTATCCCAATTTTAATAAAGGAGAGAAAGAAAGCAGCACTGAGGAGCAAGAAAATGACGAATTAATTAGGAACAAGCTCCTAATTAGTCAACCAAGTCAATTGATGTTTTGAGTTTTGAGCCTGGGGACGATTTCCAATAATATAAGACGTGTCCACATCTATGGTCTCTCCTAAACTTTGTTATGATTGACTCCACAAAAGCCGCGTATTGTGTGGTCTTGATTCTCAATTATTTAATTTTAGTATTTACAATTAACGAAGCTGTCTGCTTGCTTTTCGCTTTGATTATTTATTCATTTCAACCATAGAGATTACGTTGTCTTGATGTTGAAGCATAAGGAAAGTCCAAACAACTTTGTAAAGTATCTATAGGAATCAATATGCCGCGTCAGAAGTCAGACTACTCATCAGAACTTTGCTTCTTCCTTATTGATGCTGGCTTCCCGGCCCCCATTCTTCTTATCTTATTATTAGAGAGATCAGTCTCTAACAACCGAATGTAACTTAAGCCACAAAATATGGGAGAGTGAAGGAGTGGTCGTATTGTCATAGGACTGGACTGACATATTTACTGTTTATAGATATGTGTGGGAAAAGTAGGAAGATAAGGATCGGAGGGATACTATGAAGCTTGTCCGGCCATAAAGATTATGAGAGAGAGAGAGTGTTAGGTGATACATATTTTTGTATTTCTGACATGAAATTGATTCTTCACCTGCAGATACCATCCGATGCTCTTTTATTTACGCAGCATTTAATCGTATGTGATTCGAACAATTTACGCAACAAAAATAATTATTTCTTATCCCATATTCCACCACTCTCTCACCTCTTATAATCTATTTGATGATCACTATCTAAATGCGGAGACAGAGAGAAATTCAAGTTAGAGAATACTATATAAAATATATCTCCTAAAACTTGGACCTCCCAATAATTTTACAATCAGTAAATTAAATCACAACTAGCTAGCATGTAAATCATCACTTCCTTATCTTAATTAATTAGCATATCCATAAGTTCTGCAAAAATTTTGACCAAGTCTCCTCTAAAAGTTCGACCTCCCAATAATCATACAATGGAAATCTAACATCCTTTAATCATTTATAATCCTCCCAATAATTTTACAAACCATCATCGAAGAATGGGAAACAAGCAAATATGTCCACACCAGTTGAGGTGACTAGAGGTCAGCAGCGAGGGAGTCTCTGAGTTTTAAGGTTGAAAGTGGAGGGAGCATCAATGAACAGCAAATTTGGGTTTTTCATTTCTGATACAACAGGTATAGACTGTAGAAAGCAACAGAATTTTTTGAAGAAATCAATTGTTTTTCACTTTTGTTTCTGGAAGAAAATAAAAAACAATTATTTTAAAATTCTCTCACTATCTACACGGAGTGTTATTACAACTGTACCACTTTTTTAACACGCTAGTTATATTTTAAACTGGTGTAGCAAAGTAGCAAATTATAATTTATTTACAAAAACACTACTGTCTTCACTTCTTATCTTGTTCTTTTTTAACTGGTATAAAACACGTTTTTCGGTACTTGTGATTACTTCTTTCCCATATATTTTAACTGCGGATCAGACAACTTAAAATTGGATCGTATTTATATATGTGATGCACATGTTTCTCTTATAAATTAAGACTTGTGGCAGGTTGTTGTTAGTTAAAATAATCACGAGGTACAAATAGAACCTAATTATCAGCTACATCCATGGTGGCTGGTGACGGAAAGCCTTGAGTTTTTAAGAAAGCAGGCTTTAAATTATTTCAACTAACTAATTAATTTTGGTTTCCTTTGAATGACAGCAAGCTGGCTAGAAGGAATAGAAATGAGGAATGATGAGATCATGCAGTGAGAAAAATGGGATATATATATATATATATAGATGGATAGAAATGTGTGTGAGAAGGATGAGTGAGTGAATATGAAATATCATCATTAAAGAGCGCTTTTTGGAGAAGTTGACGTTTCAACCATACAGCCTGTGTCTTGTTTACTCACTGCAATGAGAGGGGTCCCAATAATATTCGGATCTTTTCTCTCCAGCACCCTTGTGTTTATGTGGAAGCCCTGTGTCCTAGAGATCTCAACCCTCACCATCATCATCATCATTATTATTCAATAGTATTTATTGCCCTTTTGTTTCTTCCTTTGGAAGGCTTCATATATATCCATCAGCTATATATGCACCAACAGATCTCAACTGTTGCATATTATTTCAAAAGCTGCTTCATTAACTCACATTCTAGCTCTATGCGTAAACGTTCTTCAAAAATTAAGGAGGAGGACATATTAAATGAATGAGATACATAAATATGTATGTATCCTATGAAATGAAGTTTAGATATCAAATAAGACAGACAAGAGGAGCAGACTGTCTCAACTCTCATATATATGCCCAAAAATAATACGGAATGAATCATACTAATTCTTAATTTTAGTTTCGAGAAGCATGCTTATTCCGCTTCCTTCGTAGATAATATATATGAAAATCACGAACGAAACACAAAACTGTCCGTGACCATGAATTATTAAGAATGTGGTCTTCTTATTGTTGAATATAAATCCGATGTTGCGACGAGGTTACGCTTGTGGTAAGCAGTGTGAGATGAGATTAATATATAGGATTGGAGAGTGATTAAAGTAAGAATGAACGTGGAGCATGTGGGAATTAAAACGATTGGTGAATTTCATTTTCAGGAACTACCACACCACTATCACTTAATTCAAACAACAGCGTAGTAAGCAAATTAAGGCTGCCTCCCCTCA